TGAGGCCAAGCTTTTTCGATGTAGATGCGAGCTGAACTGCCCGACTTCGTCCCCCGAGAAATGGCCTTCTTGCTCCCCCAACCTTAATCACTTGAACTCTCAGTCTGGTCCGTGATTAAGAGCAAGGCATGTCGAGCTCGTCGTATGAATCTGCAACCATTGCAAGCAGCATCAAAGGAAGCCTGGGAAGAATTGGATAAGGAACACCTGCGTGCAACGTGCGAATGGTGCAAGAAGAGACTCCGGGCCTGAATTCGTGCAGGTGGAGGACATTTTGAAATCTGGTTGTTGCATGTTGTAGTGTATGATGTTAGTATAATTATGTTTATATTCAATTACCATTCTGTGTCCAACAGTTCAAAAGACATTGCAATAAATAGGCGCAAGTAATTTTGGGACACCCTGTACAACGTGAGGTTTTTGAGACTTCAGCTATATATTTAGTGTATTGCTAAAGTCAAAAATCTGGTAGAAAAACTGCTTTTGAAAAAACTTTTGCCCAATGGTGAGCGAGGGTCGAGCGCGGAAAAAAAGGGTGCAGTCCCATGAGCCCGCTACACGCTAACCCGCATTGTCGTAAAAGAGCTAACGCGCAATAGTTCCGTTCATGTTGAGGACTGTACTGCTCGCTTAAGCTCTCGAAAACCCCTTTTTACCTATAATGAAAGTTGTGTTCTGGTTGATGCGCGCTCTCCGCAAAAGAATCGCATCGTTCACAGGCATAACATAACAGCGGCCAGTCATAACAGCGGCCAGTTATAAGAAATGACTTCGCGCTCCTTGTATCCGGCAAGCTCGTGTGTTCAAAATGGTGATGCGCTTTATACCCCACGGCATAGGTAGTCAGTACCATCAGAAATGTTGTTGCCCTTTTGGAACCATCATCACCTCTGTTGCTGTCCTTTGAACAATCTTAAAGGAATCTTGCGCGGAAAAATCATGATTCTATTTCAGCCATAAATCACTGGCTTGAGACTCATTATCCACGATAATAGTGAAAAGAACTGAAGTATTGCTTTCGTTTTGATTAGAAATTCGAAAACTCGAAAAGGCTGCTACGCGTTCGAATTGCCCACGGACGTCTTTCACGAATGCTGGCGACGGGGATGCTCAAACTTGGTTCTTGGAGTGCATTCACTAGAAGCTCTTTCTGGCCTTCTGCTTCGTTGCATTCACATCTTACACTTCTACTCCATCCTATTCCATCGATCGATTTGTCTCCACTCTCCGAAATCGCGCGCTTTAACCCGATTCTCTCATTGCGTCGCCTGGTACGTAGCCGGCCAAACGCCGTCTTCTTTCCATGCCTCGCCTGGCTCTGCCTCCTGGTCCTTCGATGGTCCATAACGTGTAGTTTTTGTACGTTTGTTTCTCTTCAGAAACCGAATCTTCATGCGTGAAACTTTGTGTGCTATTTCCAGTGATCACAACTGACATATTCATGTTAGGAAAGAGTGCAAGAATTTTCCGCGCAAGATTCCTTTAAGAAGATCTCGAAGGATAGTCTCAAAAAAACGACCACGGCCTGATTCTACTAATTGTAAACAGTCATGTATGTTTGTGAAAAACCTTCATTCGAATGGGATTCGGATAGATGGCGAATTCTGAAGGAAACTACCAACTTTGATTTACCCTGTTTTCTTTATTTCTAAGGGTATTCGTCTCCGAAACAACACGCTAGGCTCTCCATATAATTTTTATTACAATGGGTATATGTACGGTGATTGCATAGTATACTGTACACGTGTGCTGATCAGTACCGCGAAACGGCTAGATGGCTTCTATTTGAGCAGTCCATGATGCTGTTTGATGCGGTTAAGCCTTGGAAGGCGACTTTGGTAGTTGACCGTCTTGAACCTGATTCTGGAGAAAATAGCTATTAGACTGGCACAACGGTCGCTGGAATATCATAGGTTTTACAGGTAGTAACCTCAGATATTCGACGGCGTAAATCAAAGGCTGAGGAATAGCGACACATACACATGCCGAAACATCTCCGCATGCATTCGATCGTAAAACTCCGATATGGTGCATTAACGTACACCATAATGATAGTACCGAAAAATCCATGGCACGAAAGAAAACACAAAATAATGTTGTATATTACTGAAAAACCGCATCATTGACATTCCGGCCTCTTGGGGTTCATCTATAGCTGAATCACTCGTCAAGCACGTTACCACATCAAAATCATCGTAAAATGGAATTTCAGCGATTAGCCCATTGTACCGATCCCTCTCGCAACTAGGGTCGCAAGGTCGAATTGCACGGCTGGTTACCGTCAGCTCAAGTGTAGCGGGAGCTAGGGCTTAGACCATGTTTACATGTTCACTTCCACAACCCCACACGCCTAGCGTAGCGCCGCGTTTCACTTCTCGCTGTCTCAGCACATGGTGTTTTTCAAACACTTGGCCGCAGAGACTATCTCGAGTCCCAGAAGAAGCGCATCATTTCAAAAGCCTCTGGTGGTTCCTCTTTCCACAAACTGTCGCAAATTATCACCTGCTATTTAAGATTGGATTCATATACCAGGTTCCTGGGAAAGTCCTTGGGAACGAGTCGGAAAAGGTACTGTAGTGATTTCGCGTCAAGTTAAATAGAATGCACCATTGAACGTCTTACATCGCGACGCATGAGTGGAAAAAAAATCAAAAGTCAGCCCGAGAACCAAGTGGAACTGTTCCCGTCGCTAACGCTTGTGACAGATACAGCGGCGCGTTCTGGGGCAACTGCTGAGACCCATCTCTCTGAAGAACGATCATGATGCATAAGCGGGATTATATGCGCACCACATTCAAACAATTTTTTCTCGAGCCAAAGCTCGAGTGCATGGCGCAATCTGAAGTAAGGCTTTCCAAAAGTTTAAAAGCATATTCTTATAGAACTCGACGAGCTGAGTTCAATGCTTTTTTCAGATTTCAATGGACGATGTTGAATACGCGGCGCGTTCTGGGGCAACTGCTGAGACCCATCTCTCTGAAGAACGATCATGATGCATAAGCGGGATTATATGCGCACCACATTCAAACAATTTTTTCTCGAGCCAAAGCTCGAGTGCATGGCGCAATCTGAAGTAGGGCTTTCCAAAAGTTTAAAAGCATATTCTTATAGAACTCGACGAGCTGAGTTCAATGCTTTTTTCAGATTTCGAAAATCTTAATTTGAAGCGAGTTATAACGAAAAAACGAAAAAAACGCGAATTCGCGTTTTTCGCGTGTTTTTTTTCGATTTTTTACGGCGAGTACCGTAGTTTTCCACATGGTTAGACTCGCCACAGAGAGACGAGTCCAATGGTGTAGAGCACCAATCATTTGACCCGCTTTGGGGGGAGTTATGAAGGGGCGACGCTTTGCGACGCTGCAAATCCGTCGCTCAGCGGAGAAATTTCAAAAGTTAGTGGCGGTATTGTACACTGCGAGATTTCGAACGCGTAACAGTCCTTCCATTTTTTCGAATTTTTTTACCAAAATAAACGCAACACTCTGCAGAGGTGTCTAACCATCTCAGGCATAATACCACGAGTTCCCTATTAATCAAAAACTGTGTTGTCGTCTGTTTCCATTCGCGCTTTGACATTCTTACCATTAGAATATTGAAAATTGGGTTCAGTAGTGTCAAACCCTTCATCAAATCGAATCGAATCTTCATCGAATTAGCCTTGAAATACATTCGCAAAAAACAGCTACTTTCTTCCCCGTTCTTACTGTGAAGGATGGGTTCCAAGCCTCTATGGGTGAGGCAGAACCATGTTTTTCCATGAGATTCTTTAACCAGAGTCGGTATTATGGAAGAATAGTGCAAAGGCTTGGGGGCAGAGCTAATGTGGACACATTTTATTATTGAAAGGTGGATGGAACCAGACCGCTAAGTTAAATAAGGGAGTGGTCAGACCCCTCCAAACTACCTTCTAACAATGGTCTTTGAAATAACTCATTATACCAACCATCGTGCTCACTGCTTCCAAATCTGAGTTAGAAGCAGCATTAGGAAGGGCAAAAGACGATTGTAAAGTAGATGTACCTTGAATTTCTGCTATATACGGATAAACGGAAAGGATATCCGACCATGCTCCAACCAGCATGAGACTACATCCAGGTACGATAACAATGAAGATAGGAACCATAACCTCAAAAATGCAACGGTATAGTAAATCATTTTTTTTCCACCATAACCTTTCCAAGCACTACATTCGGGCTTTTCAAAGTTTCAGTGTTTTTGCGTAATTACCCCACTTGGCATATTACTAAGGTAGAGGGATTCAAGGGCAGCCTCCCACACGCCCACTTTCCAGTTGCAGATGCTCAAGTGGGCAAAAAAGACCCATAACTAGTGAGGAGTGAGCACATTGTGAATAGGTCACTGGGCTTTGAAACCGCAAGGAAGCCTTAGAGTTCCTAGCAGAGTGCACTTTCGGGTACTTCTGGAAAAGCAGAATGTGAGAAGTGCTCCAGGAAGGATTTGCAGCAATCACCATATCAGTAACGATGCTGGTATGCTGAACTCGTATTCAGTATTCTTACTTTGTACTATTTACAATTCGTAAAGGTTGGATTGTGCTGCATAGATTCATGCAAAAACATGTGCATTCACTAGGTTTCTCGGAGTGTATCACCCAAACGGTTTCTCTTTGCAATTTTCTCGGAAAAATCCTGAGATATATGGTCGTTGGGGTCCACCAGATGAGTCCAACAGACCCTGCGACTGCGTGGGGTAACGCGGGATAGAAAAAGAAAAGAAAGAAGAGAAAGAATTCTCTGGGTCTCAGATGAGTCAGAGCTCACTTCCCGGTGCTTTCGTTACTTATTTCCTCTTATCATGCAGTTTGCATCTAATAAGATTCTGATTTAGGTTGCACGAGCGCTATGACATATTAAAAGCTTTTTCTGCTGCTTACACAGGGAAACGGGGTTGATACGAAAGAAAACCACTGGGATTCATTGTTAATTTGATAAATTTTACTTTTCAAGTTCAAAGCGAGCCCATTACCTGTAACATCAAAGACTTTTGGTATTTCTTCTGCAGATCGATCGTTTTCTGCGTAACATTTGTAAAGCGGAAGTTTCGAAAAGTAAGATACACTACAACAAGCGATGTCACAGCTACAAATGTTCCCTCAACAGTGACGACCAGGAGGAGTCGTCGATAATCGTTAAGCAAGAAGTATTGTATTCCAGGTTGATCGGCCATTTCGGCAATACAGGAGTATTCCTGAATTATTTAAACGGTAGCCTTTAGAAATGTCGTAACATTATCCTATTGTGCCAGCCGAATGATTTTGCATTCGCGATGTCGAGTCATTACAATCGTTAGGACATTCTTTTTGACTTGTTTTTGTTTGTTAACTGCTGTTTTTGGCCGCAGTTCGCCTTGCGAATGTTTCACAAGAATGCTGGGTTGTGAACAAAACTTTCGCCCCAGGCGGGACTAGAACCCGCACCTCTCGCTTTCCGGGCAAGTGCGCTACCAGTTACGCTACCGGGGCACCATTTCATTCCAACTCAGCTTTTCATGGTATAGTAGATGGTAGTAAATTAAGTTCACAATCCAGCATTCTTGCGAGACATTTTTTCTAGATTCAAGTGAAGCGTCGCGAAGAATTTTGATAAATGCGATTCCCCCTCCCCCGGTAAGATCGCAAGCACAGTCTTACCCTGCTTAACCTGTAGACCACGATTCTTAAGAATTAAGTCCACTAAGGCCCTTCGTGCAGAGACCATTGCCTTTAGAGCAAATGTAGCGGATTGACTGACTGAAGCCAAATTTCATCCAGGATCTCCTTCGATCCTTGGATGATGTTTAAGGTAGCAGCCCCTCTCGCCACTATACTACCCCAGTTTAAGCAAAAATTCGAATTAAGAATTGAAGATTTTGTCACAAAGAAAAACATAGGGACAGCGCTGGTGATCGCTGGAGCTTGAGAGCTTGAGAACTATGCGATGATGCTCTAAAACGGTGCATTAGGAACTGGCTCGGGCATAATACTATGTACAGGGTGGTCCAAAATTATGAGGACCGCGTGCGCGCGCAGTCATATCCACTTTTTTCCGTATCGCTCCATTTTCATCTCGTTTTCTGTGCACTATGTGAGAGGGTACAATGTCTTCTTCCTAATGAAACCAAATTTCATGAAGTTCTCAAAACTAGTGAAATAACTACTTCACTTTAGTCAGTCCTCAAATTGAACTCACTAGGGGCTCTGGCACGTTACATCTAGCAGCAGTCTAACCTATCAGGAAGCTCTTATGAGCAACAGTTCAACTCTTCAATAAGTTTGGAACCACCACAGATGGAAAATTCGGGACTCGAAAGTTACAGTTACCACCAGGATAATTATCAGATGCAGAAACTAGGTCTCCCCTTGTCGACTTTCGTACACCCAAAATGAAAAAATTGATGTGAAAACCCAGCCAGACACTCTAAAGACTCCACATCTGTAGTGGATAGAAAGCCACACGAGTAGTCTACTTGGGACTTCTTACAGGACCGAGCACCCAAGAATAAAGCAAAAATTCTCTAAAAAGCGATTTTTCGAGTTCGTTGCTTTCGAAGAATTGTTACAATGGAACCTTCCACCTAATAGCTCTAGATTTCTGTATTTCACACCCTGGATGCAAGCGCAAATAAATGCCCCACAAAACTTTGATTCCCTGAAGAAGGCAGAGCAGAAGGCCTGGAAACATTTGGACACGCCTCAGTTGCGTGCCACCGCACGCGCCATCCCCTTCATCTGAAGGCTCGTGTAACGGGGCAGGTGGCAGATCTCAATTCTATTCTGGAATTACTTTGAGGTAAGAGTTACAAATACTTCCCTGAAGTTGGTTTGTTCCATCAAGCTACTATGCGTTTTTAACGACACAATGTCTTGGTCCTCATAATTTTGGACCACCCTGTACTATGTACGGTGTATGTAACGAACTCCCTCTAAATCAAAAATTATGCCGTCGTCAACATTTCAATGCTCGTTTTCGCTATATCCCTTTCTTCAAAATACCGAAAATTGAGCCTATTGTTAGCAATGTCGAATCCCAGACCTTCATCGGATTACCCTTCAACTACATTCGCAAGAAGCCTACTTTTTTCATCATCTCTCGGTTACCTATGTGGCAGCTGAAATAAAAAATTCAGCAGACACTAAAAAATCCAATACAAATATCAAAAATGCATGAAACTTCGAGAAATTGCCTTTTGTGACTACAGACAACAGCGACCTGAAAACTAGAAACTGTATTGGAAAATTCTCCAGGGGATGTCGTATTACCGTGCGGACAATTGCCTCTGCAGCAAGGATTATAAAGTTTTTTTTTTCCATAATGCATAATTGTGCCCTAATGTCAATAGTAGAACTAATGTTATCTATGAAGGTCAGTTCAACTAAGAATGTAGAAGTTGTGCGTCCCCAAAACTGGGACGAGACGAAATGAAGCGGAAGTTACAAGTGTTACTATTAATATCTAATGTAGAGAGATGTCTGAATTGATGCACCCCCAAATTAAACGATGTGATAAATTATATTTCTGTCTAATATGTACAATGACGGTCGTGAGTCCACAACATTTCCCCTTCCTTCCGTCAGCGTTGGGCAAGATTATTAATTGGAACTATACCTTAAAGAAAAACAAAGATGGTGGCTTTCTAGTCTCTTATTTATTCAGCAAAAGTTCGAAAGTGGAAGCAAGCCGGTTTGGCCTTTGTTCCGAGGGCGATCATGGTTTCTTACCTGTGTATAGATAGGCCTGAGTTCGTCACGGCGATTCGGCATTGTGAATCCAGCTATTACTACCGCGCTGTTGAATATGATGAACACCGTAATACAAATTGCATGAATCCACTTCTTGTCGAGTCGTAGTGGATGATCATTCATGAGTAGCGATTGCCATCGAAATACAAACAGCTGCACAACAGCACCCATCGTGGTTACCAAGAAGCACAACCATGTGATAAACATGTAAGAATATTTTAAATATCTCTGAGAGAAAATCAGTCCCGCATGGTACACAACAGGGAATGGGAAGAATGCGACCGGTATGAACATCAAATTCGTCCATGTGTCTGTTAGTGTTGCACAAATCTGGTAGATAAGCAGTAGACGCGAGTAGTCCTTCATAATTTGCGGAGTTTTTGCGATGATACAGTATACACCGAATAGATCCACCGGTAGCGTGATTGCAGACAGCACGTACATAGTTGTAAAATATGCTTTTGGCTCAGGATGTAATTGACAAATAATCATCCTAGAAATAGATGAGCTTCAAAGCTTGACAACGGACCCTAGTACAGAGGTATTTTGAGACGACGTTCCTACAGCGTCCAAGAATGGTAGCAATCTTCATGATGGAGTTACCGGACGAGTGTAGGGCCGTTATTTGGCCTTTTTCGGATGAAGAGAGGTAACGTCCTCTAGCCATGAATACAAAGAACGGTCCAGATATCAAACCCGCGTTATTCATATTGCCACTTGGTTCGAAAATTTGAAAAGTGAGGGAAATTTGCGGGGTGTCCTATGATTTTGCAACGGCCTCAAAACTGAAAAAAATTGTCTAAAAATACGGAAAACTATTCGGATAATCTGGCTACTTGTTTGTATAGGTTTTTTATAGAGGCGGTTCTGATTTTACAGGTTGCGATGGACGGCGTTCTTCTAGAAGCCGAGATATTCATATTTTTGGGGGGGGGGGTGTCCTATGATTTTGCAACGCACTGTAGTGCTCAGGACGGCTATTATTGAGCTGCAGAAGTGGACCTTCGGCCTTATAAAGTCAGTCTACTCGTACCACGGTGATGACCGCGTACGGGGAAATGGCCGGCACGAGTTCCCTATCCCCTCCCTTGACAGTCAGTACCCCCCCCCTGGTCTATGGAGTCAACGGTTAAGTTGAACCTAATCATACCTGAAAAACTTCAACCCGCACCCCAACAGATTTTACCCTCCTAGTTTGTCTCTACATGAGAGAGGCAGGTATGTGTGACTGCTAAAGCAGCAAAGCTTACGTTTTATGCAGCTTTTCATCTTCCTACCTAGTCCGGGAACCCGACAGGAGGCCCGTCGCGCGGCAAGAAGGCAGAGTCAGCGGACGAGTTGCAGCGCGTGATGTGCGATGTAGGACGTACAATGGACATTCTATTTAACTTGACGCGAAATCACTACAGTACGCGCTGCGACTCGTCCGCTGACTCTGCCTTCTTGCCGCGCGACGGGCCTTCCTGTCGGGTACCCACCTAATCCTCATTGTAGCCATCACCGACCCAAAAAACCCCAAATTCCTCCCTTCCACTACTCCCATCTGTTCCTCATCGGTGCCAACGGTTCGCTTTTAAAATTGAAAAAAAGAATCCGTTTAAATTATAGAAGAGCACGTCAACAGTTTTGCTATTGGGGCATTTTAATGGAAACAAGTGAAAGATGGCAAGAACATGCATATAGTGAATAAGGAATCAGCAGTGCAAAGACGCAACGGCTCCGTTGATTTGTTGCGAAATGAGAATGAACCTGCTGAATGTGGTCATTAGGTGAACGTTGGCCACTTACAAATAAATGCCTCAATACGCAGATGAATTTGGAATCAGTGAAGTGGTACACCTACTTAATTACTGCACGGGTGGCTGTAATCAACTATGGAAGTAATTGAAAAGGGTGACGCGAGTATTGCGTAGAGAAAATAGTGCTATAATGCTTCTAGAAAAACCTGCTCGGTCTGATCGTTTCACTTCAGCATTAGTAACGTTGGCTGAAAACATTCAGTCAAGTCAACCTGCATGGATTTTGACATTATCGAAATCTAAAATTGTTTCTGTCGACATCAAAATAAATACCCCGCTCGTATCAAAAGCTGTATCAATATATACATTCTCCTGCACACAGGTTCCCCTATTTATCTTAAAATTCCCACAGGTTTAGAGTCGGTGTTCAATGCGAGGTCAAAGATGTTGGTGTTGCGTTGGAAAATTACTTCCTCAACAAATCACGAAGTAATAAGTAGTATGACTTGAATGCAGATTTGATTACTGCCGTGTGAGCCCGCAAAAGAACCCACGTGGTACGAATTGAACGATGCGGTGACAGTAGCGACGTGCCACATTTCACAGATTCATCAACAATCAATCCTAAGGTAAAATAAAAAGGATAAAGCATTTGCCGTTGATCAATCCCTTTTTTGGGATGCGGCACGCATTCTACTTCCATTTGTACATTCGTGGCCTATACAATGACTTGCGGGGGCCAGCCGATGTACAAGTCAGTGTTTTTATCCTCCCAGACAAGTCTGGTACCAATTAACCGACCCCGGAGGGATGGAAGGTTTTTTGAACTTCACACAAAACGTTTCTTAGGCAATTTTGAATTGTAGGTTGCTGCAATATAAATGCCGCCCAAATTTACTTTCACTACACTGGAATACCTCCAGGGAAACCTTGGTATCCATTCGTAATATCTAAGGTAAGGGTATAAAAGTGATTGCTGCTTGACCATATCACCGTGTTTTTTTACTGGAGTTTTTTTCAGTCCATGGTTATCCGAAATTCGTGAACGTGCCCGTGAATGTTGTACGACATAAGAGGAACTGGATCCAGTTCACACTCACGGCAGGGTTTCGCAAACAGTGGGGGTCAATCCACATCAAACGTGGATTGACCCGGCGAGGAATAAAAACAGTGATTTCACTTCAAAACTCACTTCACTGCTACAAGCCACATATCCGAAAAAAAAACCACTAACAAAAAAGTGTGAGACCGGACTGAAAACCTTCAACTTCTTTTAATTTCTCCGCTAAACAACTACTGTCACCTCCATGTTCATGTCCATGCTGCTATTCTACCATTCCAATAGGTTGTGAAGGAGGAACGATCCTGAGACTACTAAAAATCCCGGCTCGGAGACCAAGTTTGCCTGGCTACTGTTGCTAAAATCCTTTGAGAAGAAGAATTCTGCGACTCTGCGTGAGGTTGACATGATGAGTTAGGAGCCATCTCTTGCTCGCGGTTGACAAACGCTGCTGTTTCAAACAAACTTTTGTGTACAGACGACATTTATCTTGCAGTAGCGTATATTTTCTCACTATGTTCATGTAGCTATGACGACAAATGACGCAAGTGAATTTAACCGAACCATGTCCGCATTTCGCCACTTTTTGGGCAACCTAATAATATGCAAAAAAGATGCTCCTTATTTAAAGGCAGCGATTACGATAATTCGAGAAGGGATTTAGAGGAGACGTGCTAGGTGCTCAATGGTACGCCGGTGGCGAAAAAGCGGAGAAATCCGTCAAAAGAACGCAAAATGGGACCCCTTTCTTGGCTTTCTTTTTTCGGTTGGTTTTCACTCATGAACAGGTAACAGCTCAGAAAGCGGGCGTATGAACGAGTTCAGCGCAACGCGTTTGGTGCATGCCAAACCACACTCCAATCGAGTTGCTCCAGTTGTGCCGCTGCTGGCAACGCAGCTCGTCCAAATCACCAACTAAACTAGTGGGCGGATCGCTTTTGGGGGCGGAGTGCTTTCGAAGTCCTGCTCAGCAACCAGCGCACCTTTCGTCGTGAAAGCGCTACACCTCGCTTCCTGGCAGCCAAGTAACTGATTCGTGTGGTGCATATGCTTCCCCGATGCGCTCCCACTTTATCGTAATCGCTGCCTTCAATAATCATTTTCTGGAAAAGCAAAGCATCAGTTATGCGATGGAAATGTTCGTGAGAATGCGAAGATTCACAAACTATCTGAATGTTGTAACCTGCAGGTAACAGATCATGAAACATTGTACAGCGGTGAGCTAACATTTTCGAAGATGGGGCTCTGCCGTGCGCCTCAGAAGGGATGGATGCGAGGTATGGCCATTCAGAGTGGGGTTTGTACGTCTCTTCAAACGCTGATCTCAAACCTATATTCCATATCTAACGAACGATTATCTAAAGTGGGTCACAGAGGGGTCAGAAAGAATACGAGGCAAAAAGCTGTCCAGAATCGGGTCGGTGGCCGGTGCTATCAGTCTTGACTCTGCGAAGCCAATGGTTTCGAGCTTGGCGGTAGGCGTTTCTTGCATTTTTTCAGGAAACAATCAAAAACAAGTCCCAGTTGCTCTCTTCCCGTTTGTAATGCATTTTTGTATTACTGAGAAGCCTCATTCTGTCCAAACTGCTGTCTGCCAGGAAAACTGCTCTCTATGACAACTGAGGCACGGGTAGTTCTTCTCGCTTGTTTCTTCGTCTCAGAAAACAAGACAATCATTTTTCAGAACCTCTAAATGAGGTACACTGGTAAATAGGCAACCAATTGCATAATGATAAGATGTTTTAAGATAAGATGTTTGCTTACACTGTGGATGGCACCCAAATTAAGAAGGTTGAGAAACAAAGAGATTTGGGGTTCATTATCACTAGAAACCTCTGTTTTGATGCCCACTGCGAATTCATTGCCCAAAGAGCCACTACCGTTGTATATAAGTTGTTCAGAGTTCTTACAACAAAAAATTGTGGTGTACTTTTGCGAGCCTTCAAAACATATGTAAGACCAGTTTTAGAATATGGTACACCAGTGTTCAACCCATTCCGGGCGAAGACTATTTCTAAACTTGAAAGAGTACAAAATTCTTTTACGCGGAAAATGATGATTAGGGTACTGGGTTTCCTGTATGATGGTATTCCATCCAGCATGGAAAGGAACAAAAATTTCGGCCTACACACCCTCTCCTACAGGAGAAGGAAACACGATCTTATATTATTCCATAAAATTTTACATGGTTCAAGCGGTCTCAACCCAGATCAACTTGGTATGCTTAGGCCCGCTATTACCAGGGGTGATCCTATGAAACGTTCTCTCCCACGTGCTAAGCATAGTGTTAGATATCACTTCTTTCTCTAAGAGCTGGCAGAGATTATTTTAAACTCAACAGGCGCAAAGCATTTCCGATTAATGTCAGGGCTTTCAAGCACTCCATCGATAAGTACTTGGTTCCGTAA